AACCCGGCCCGCGGCCTCGTCACCCGCCCGGGGCATGCCCCCGGGAATGCAATTTCTCAGCCGCGGGAAAGAGACCAAAAATTGTCCCCCCAAATTGTCTGGCCAAGCGCAGATCGAGCAGTTTGCACAGGGCTGCACCGCGGGCTGCGAGGCTGCAGCGCCTGGTGGGCGACGGCTCGCTGCGAAGCTGCAGGTCACAAGTCGGCTTGCCTCAGCCTAAACGGAGCAATTGAACGGAGATTTTAATTTGCCTTCTTTTTAATGCACTGAATACAAATAATAGCAAATTAAAGCACCTTAAGGCAAATCTCCAGTGTCCAGCTGTATATACTTATTCTAAACATATTTACCTGTTTAAACAAAAAAAAAGCAAAAAATGTAAAAAAAAAAAAAATCAAAAACCAGTTTGAAGTGTTTTCTACAAACTGAGCAGTTTCAAAGAGCATGTGTCCAGCAAGAATCCAAACGTGTATTATAATTGTATATACTTGGTGTAATGCAAAACCGGATGGTCAGTGCTGTTTGACAAAAATCTTTCTTTTTGCATAATAGAATTATTTATGCTAATATTAATTTTATGGATGAAAACAAAGCATATGTCCACCTGATGTGTAATGAAGTTTGTTAAATACTGTCTCAGTATTTTTTAAGGATTAAAAATACAGTATTTTAAAAGTTCATAGTTTCCAATACCGTTCTGTGTTAACCCACTTCCCCCAGTGACCGGTTTATCAGTGGGTGAATTGTTCGCATCCCTTTCAGAGAGAGCGGAAGAGGACTGGATTTAAACCTGGCTCCCCACGTATTTATTTTGCTGTACAGCCTTTTGCAGAATGACTGCAGAGCAGCCTTCTTTTAAAGGGACACTGTCAGGCGGGCGACGAGGGGCTGGTGCCGCGAGCCGAGGAGGACGTGGCGCAGGCTCAGCCCCGCTGAGCTTTGCCTTCGCTCACGTTGGCAACTAAATAAATCGGGAGCTGAGCGGGGGGGAATCCAGTTTTCATTGCTGACATCCTCAGCTGGAATAGAAAGTGTTGATGTCGCTTTCTAGCTGACTTCGGATCCCGGCTGGGGTCTTGGGCTAGCCTGGAGAGCCAAAAATCCCGGCGTTGAGGTCCTGGGAGGGGTTTCGCAACACCGTTTTGGGGTGGTTTGGGCCGGATGCGCTCCCTTGGATTCGTTACGGCATGGGGAACGGCAAACGCGCCCGCGGCCCAGCTAGCGCACCAAAGACCTTGAACTTTGCAGACCCGTTTTTTTTTTTTTTCTCCTTCTTCATGAACAACCAATTTTCATAATGCCACTGAGAGCACAGAGGCAGGATACCTGAAGAGTACGGAAGGTCTCTTCCCAGCATTTCGTCCAAAAAAAAAGTAACAACCGCTTTGCAAGGTTCAAGCCTGAAAGGGTCTGGGATATTGGTGCCATGAAAGGAAGACATTTGTTTCTCTTTTAGGCTAACAGCTCTCGCTCTGCTACACTGTTCCTCCCTCCCCATACTTTAATTGCAATACCCTCTGGAAAAAAATAACAGCTACCTGGAGGTCAGAAATCGTTCGGGCCTGATCTTGCAGCGGGGCCGTCCCCGGCCGCCGGCTTTTCGGCTGCCTGCAAAGGGCTCCCGCAAATAGCAATGCCAGTGGGTTAGCTGCTGGCCAGCTTGGCGCTTTGTAGCTAGCTCAGATTAGCTAATTTCCTTCGCGCTGCAAGGAAAGGGTGGTTTGCGACCAGTCCCAGCTCTCGCACGGCTCAGCCTCGTGTTTCGCGTCCCGGGAAAGGCTCTGCAAGGGCCGCGGGCTGCTTCCAGCCGGGCCAAGGGCTTCGCCAGCGCTGCAGCTGCTGTAAGCTCTGCAAGCAATACACTTGTATACCGGGGCCGTAAACACGGTTAAATATTTGCCTCTACCTTTGTAAACACTGAAATACTGGGAAATGCAATTTTTCAGCGTTGCATACACGGGCTCAACTGTCAGTTAGTTATTCGTGGTTTATCGTTAAAGCCGGCTCACACCACGGTGCTTTGGAAACGCTGCATCGTAGGCCCAGAACCGGCGGCGCCGGAGGTCAGCAAAAGCTGTCGCCAGCAAACGGTGCCCCCCGCGTCAGGAGCCTCGCCGGGCCGAGATGGTTAAGGAACAGGAAGAAACAACCGTGGGATGAGGCCGGGGTGCTGCCTGTTTAATTTGCGAGATGG